AAAATTAATTTAATAATTTTTATTATATCAAAATTTATATCTTGGCACTGTCCCCGAATTATGATAATATAAAGCTGAGAACTACTCACAATTTTTAATTCTCTTAGATCCTAGAGGAAGTTCACTAGAGGATTTTTACTTCACACAGTAATCACAAATTCATTATTCAAATATAATTTATTGTGACAATAATAATAAAAATAATATGTAAAATGCGTGACAATCAGTGAATAATTAGGTATACCATAATTATACAATATGACAATAGTTTCAACACGATACAGTGGCTAAAAGCAACCAGTTGTCAACAATTTACCAAGATTTATGATGGGACACTCCACTCCAAATCACAGAAAGACAAAACTTCACCGAAAAGTAGTGTAGCCTAAAGCAATAAAACTTTGGCTAACAGTCAGATCACACTTAATTAACCCTTCCACTGCTGGCTACAATCCTCATAGGCAAGATATCCTATTATGTTGCAACTTTATAATTAAAGTAATGTTCATACCAGATCATTTGACCATTCTTATGACCATCCAATAAGAATAATTCTACCAGATTTTTACGTTTGCTGATTTTAAGTTTCCTAAATAAGATTCACTATCTTATATCAGAACAAGTCAATACCTCTGGATAAAAATTTTGGTATGCTAATTTAATTAAATAAAACCAGCATAATTACCAGTTAGATGTGTACAAAAAACGCTATTGTGCAAATAAATGCCAAATAGTGCAAGATGTGGAGCGCTATAACATTAGAATAAACACTCACTCCTGTGATTCTCAGGAGATATAGATGGTGAAGGAGTCCTTGTATATCGTTGTTAGATAGAAAACCTCAAAATGGAGACAAAAGCAGAAAAAACAGGGAAGCAAAGCTAACCCTGGTGTAGAAATCCTTGATATAGTGGATAATCAAATGTAAACAACAATTGGCTTCTCACCTTGTTAGGAGCCAGATACTAGGCTCCAAGTATGCAGATATAGTGTCAAATATAGGGTGACACTACCCTTCTTTGTAGCAGCATGAATATATCACTTAATCAACTTGAATAAAAAATGTAACATTTATTGTAAATATAGTTTAAAACAATAAAATCAATATACTCAAGTGATAGTGCTTGGTCCAAGACGCGTTTCGCCTGTATAGTTCGGCTTTATCAATTGGTAAATACATGCTGCAATTACATACTTTAAATATCCCACAATGGTAGCTCATTGGAGGATGGCATCCGTGATACGTCCAATCACGGAGCTCATATTAGTGGGAGTGTGAGGGTACAGCTGTCAGTAATCTTTTCCGCCATCGTGACGTCATCACGCACGACGGCTCGTGCGCGTGACGTCATTCGCGGAAGTAAAATTCTCCCGGTAATCCGTCCCACACTGATGACGCCTTCACAAAGGGCCCAATTTGAATATTCGGAATGTCCCCTCCCATTTCCACTCGTGATGCAGGTGTAGGCTTTCAATCTCGTCCGCCATTTGGGTTGAGGGCAACATAGTGGAAATAAATGTCCATAATCGATCCAATAAAAGTCCAATATCAGAAGATGTTCCTGAATGTTATAAATGCTCCAAAGGGCATACAATAGAAAAAATAGAGAATGATTTGTATACTGTCCATCATTGAGAGATGTAAAAAAATATATAATAACATCCTATATATATATACAGTATTCAGATTTATAGTGAATAGAAAAGTGAATGGAAGGGTGGAATATATGAGGCTTAGAAGGATGACTTTATATATATGAAAATAAGAAAATATATATATAAAAATATAAAAAAATATATATATATATAAATATTATATTTACATTTAAAAAAATTCCTTTATAAATATATTAATGCTAAAAATAGAAATTATAAAAAATGGCAAATTTCAAAGTCATCATTCAGTCCGTGAGGTTGCATTGTATCCAAATTAAAAATCCATTTCATCTCTGCTTGTCCTATATTTCTAATTAAATCACCTCCCCTCCAATTCATCGAGACTCTTTGGATTCCCATGAATTCCATAAGACGAGGGTCACAATTATGTTTTTCCTTAAAATGTATAGAAACACTGTGTTTTTCAAACCATTTTTTATGTTTCTTATATGTTCCTGAATTCTTGTGTTCAGTGTTCGAATGGTTCGTCCTATATAGGTTAACCTACATGGACAGGTTATTTTATATATAATTTTTGTGGAATGACAGGTGATTAATTGTTTAATTTTAAACTTTTTTCCAACATCCCTCGGATGAACAAATTCTTTTATTATTCGTTTTGGACTCTGGGTATTTTTGCAAGCCCCACAGTGACCGCACCCATAAAATCCATTTGACTCATTAAAAAAGGATGAATTAACAGTGTTTTTCTGCAATGGTAAATGGTTATGTACTAAACTACTGCTTAGATTTTGTGCACCTCTGTATGTAATAATAGGTGTATCGGGAAGTAAAAAATGAAGAACCGGGTCATTTTTCAAAATTGGCCAATACTTCCTAATTATTTTCTTAAGTTGTTTACTATTACAATTAAAATCACAAATAAAATTGAAGCCTTGATATTGTGTATCCGTTTTTTTATCTTTATATACAAGTAAATCATTTCTATTTTTCATTTCTACTTCCTCATAGGCTTTCACTAACAGCTCGTTATTATATCCCTTCTCTCTAAAATCGTTGAGTATTTTAGTGGATTGTTCCTGGAATTTTGAACCATCCGTGCAATTGCGTTTAATTCTTAACAACTGTGCTTTGGGGGCGTTCAAAAGCCAAGGGGAGAAATGGCAACTCTTCTCCCCTATATAACTGTTGACGTCCACCTTTTTAAAAAAAGTGCAAGACTTAAGAATATTCTCTTCCACATATATATTAAGGTCCAAAAATTCGACCGAGGTTTTACTAAAATGGCTGGTAAGTTTAATTCCCCAATCATTCGTGTTGAGATGGGTTAAAAAGGTGTTAAGAAACATTTCATCGCCCTTCCAAATAAAAAATATATCATCAATGTAACGGCGATAGGTAACGAGGTTTGCGTCCCAGCTATGATCATTGTAAATGAACTCCTGTTCCCAGTGTGACATGAACAGGTTCGCATAACTAGGCGCAAACCTCGTCCCCATCGCCGTTCCACATATTTGTAAGTAAAACTGGTCGCCATACCAAAAATAATTATTCCTTAAAATCCACTCTATCCCTTCAATGATAAAATTGACCTGATTGACGGAAAATTTCTTAGAATGTTCCAAAAAGTGCCTTGTTGCTCTACATCCCTGAGTGTGGGAGATAATCGTATATAATGAACTAACGTCCGATGTCACAAGATAATAATCTGTGTCCCAAGTGATCTGTTGGATAATTTGTAAAATATTGATGGTATCTCTCAAATAACTAGGGCAGGTGCTGACAATGGGCTGTAAACATTTGTCAATATATTGAGACAACCTGCTCGAGATGGATCCTATCCCCGAGACAATAGGTCTACCGGGTGGTTTATCCTTATCTTTATGGATCTTGGGGAGATAATAGAAGACCGGAATTTTGGGATACTGCACTTTTAGGAATTTATATTCCCTTATGTTCAAAACATCATCCATTTTTCCTTTCTCAATCAACCTATAATAAGTGTTTTTGATCTCCATCGTGGGATCCTTATTGAGAGTTTGATATGTTTGTTGATCACTTAATAATCTAGAAATTTCCTGATTATAGTCATCCACACCTAAAATGACCACTCCTCCCCCTTTATCGGCTGGCTTTATAACGATTTTTTGATCCTCTCTTAACTGTTTAAGCGCTTGTCTCTCTTTTGGGTTTAAATTCTGTTCGCTTGGTCTAAGTTTTTTTATTTTATTTATATCGTTCATCACCATATTTTCAAAGGTGTATCTGGCTCCTAACAAGGTGAGAAGCCAATTGTTGTTTACATTTGATTATCCACTATATCAAGGATTTCTACACCAGGGTTAGCTTTGCTTCCCTGTTTTTTCTGCTTTTGTCTCCATTTTGAGGTTTCCTATCTAACAACGATATACAAGGACTCCTTCACCATCTATATCTCCTGAGAATCACAGGAGTGAGTGTTTATTCTAATGTTATAGCGCTCCACATCTTGCACTATTTGGCATTTATTTGCACAATAGCGTTTTTTGTACACATCTGATTGTTAATAGGTTTGAGAGTGCCTATCTTTGGTGTGTGAGCTGCTACCACTTTACTGTGTATTGTATTATAATTTATTTTTTAAGCGCCTTTTATCACAGAAATATTCTTTTATTCTTCACATATTGTTTAATACCACTCTTTAACTCTGTGTGTGCTGCTACTTTTAATATGTCTTTGTTTGAAAAGAGATCCAAATATGGACATGATATTGATTCTTTATTTAGTAACCCCCTGATTGTAAGGGAAGGTAATGAACATGAATTGAAAACAGAAATACGCAATAATCGCTATAAATTGGAAAAACTTTTGGGTAAAGAAATAAAAATTCGATGGGAAATTGCTACGCTTAGTAAATACAATAGAGAGAAAATTACTCCAAGGGGTTTGAGATTTTCCAAGAGTCCCTCATTTGACCAAGAGGAAGAGGATTTCCTACAGGAATGGATGGATCTCTTGGAGAGTTTCTCTTTTGGAATGATGGACTTAATTATTAAGAGACGTACGAACTCTCTAAAAAAATTGGATGATGACATTAATGGAATCAAACATTTTTTGATTGAAAATATGTCCCCTGACCAGTATTCTGAGACATTGAATGAAATTCAGAGCAATCTGGAGAGATTAGAGAGGAATGTCATAGAAACAAAAAAAAGGAAATACTTAAGAGACAAAGATGACTACGCAAGGGATCAAGTGAGGTCATACACCAAAGGAAAAGAGAGATTTATAAATAACACTTGGCAGAATACACAAAATTTACATACTAGAAGAAACTATTATACAAGACTAAATCAGCCATCGACATATAACTCCCCACGTAGTGTAAAACATAGAAATCCTCCAAGTCAATCTAGGTCACCACAAAGGACAGTACGTAGACCTAAACCACCAGCTAAAAATAGTGATGAATGGGAAACAGTGGTTAGGAGAAAAAGGATAGGATCACCAAAAGGGCACAATGATGGATTGCCCAAATCTGGTGTAACATTTATGAAGCCTCACAACAATAGGCCACGCATGAATATGCATCAGGAAACTATCCATCATAACCACAACAGATTTCAACCTTTGAGCACCCCCTCAAATGACGAGGATTTTTGGCATCGACATGGGAGGGGACGCTACAAAGAAATTCCCATATATCGAGCATCACCAGGGAAACGGAGACGAAGTTTAGAGGAAGGGGAAGTAGAGGAGGTATACGGGTACAAAAAAGAAAGGAAAGAAAAACACCAAAAAGAATGGAATTTTCAACCTTTCCAAACGAGAGTTAACAATACCACAGACAGAACTATTGATGAAGGGACTTAAATTTGCTCCCTCGAAACCGATCGATAAGTGTATACCTTGAATTGAATAGGTTTAAGAGGAAACTCTGCCTTAAAATTTTTTTTCTTAAAAATCCCATTAATGTAAGTCAAGAGATTGGGTTGGACACTAGCATTATACATACGGATTTGAAGGATAAATTGACCTTTTTTCCAAGATGCTGCATCTCTGGTGAGATGACCACCTTTGAAAATATGGTGATGAACGATATAAATAAAATAAAAAAACTTAGACCAAGCGAACAGAATTTAAACCTAAAAGAGAGACAAGCACTTAAACAGTTAAGAGAGGATCAAAAAATCGTTATAAAGCCAGCCGATAAAGGGGGAGGAGTGGTCATTTTAGATGTGGATGACTATAATCAGGAAATTTCTAGATTATTAAGTGATCAACAAACATATCAAACTCTCAATAAGGATCCCACGATGGAGATCAAAAACACTTATTATAGGTTGATTGAGAAAGGAAAAATGGATGATGTTTTGAACATAAGGGAATATAAATTCCTAAAAGTGCAGTATCCCAAAATTCCGGTCTTCTATTATCTCCCCAAGATCCATAAAGATAAGGATAAACCACCCGGTAGACCTATTGTCTCGGGGATAGGATCCATCTCGAGCAGGTTGTCTCAATATATTGACAAATGTTTACAGCCCATTGTCAGCACCTGCCCTAGTTATTTGAGAGATACCATCAAGTTTTTACAAATTGTCCAACAGATCACTTGGGACACAGATTATTATCTTGTGACATCGGACGTTAGTTCATTATATACGATTATCTCCCACACTCAGGGATGTAGAGCAACAAGGCACTTTTTGGAACATTCTAAGAAATTTTCCGTCAATCAGGTCAATTTTATCATTGAAGGGATAGAGTGGATTTTAAAGAATAATTATTTTTGGTATGGCGACCAGTTTTACTTACAAATATGTGGAACGGCGATGGGGACGAGGTTTGCGCCTAGTTATGCGAACCTGTTCATGTCACACTGGGAACAGGAGTTCATTTACAATGATCATAGCTGGGGCGCAAACCTCGTTACCTATCGCCGTTACATTGATGATATATTTTTTATTTGGAAGGGCGATGAAATGTCTCTTAACACCTTTTTAACCCATCTCAACACAAATGATTGGGGAATTAAACTTACCAGCCATTTTAGTAAAACCTCGGTCGAATTTTTGGACCTTAATATATATGTGGAAGAGAATATTCTTAAGTCTTGCACTTTTTTTAAAAAGGTGGACGTCAACAGCTATATAGGGGAGAAGAGTTGCCATTTCTCCCCTTGGCTGTTGAACGCCCCCAAAGCACAGTTGTTAAGAATTAAACGCAATTGCACGGATGGTTCAAAATTCCAGGAACAATCCACTAAAATACTCAACGATTTTAGAGAGAAGGGATATAATAACGAGCTGTTAGTGAAAGCCTATGAGGAAGTAGAAATGAAAAATAGAAATGATTTACTTGTATATAAAGATAAAAAAACGGATACACAATATCAAGGCTTCAATTTTATTTGTGATTTTAATTGTAATAGTAAACAACTTAAGAAAATAATTAGGAAGTATTGGCCAATTTTGAAAAATGACCCGCTTCTTCATTTTTTACTTCTCGATACACCTATTATTACATACAGAGGTGCACAAAATCTAAGCAGTAGTTTAGTACATAACCATTTACCATTGCAGAAAAACACTGTTAATTCATCCTTTTTTAATGAGTCAAATGGATTTTATGGGTGCGGTCACTGTGGGGCTTGCAAAAATACCCAGAGTCCAAAACGAATAATAAAAGAATTTGTTCATCCGAGGGATGTTGGAAAAAAGTTTAAAATTAAACAATTAATCACCTGTCATTCCACAAGAATTATATATAAAATAACCTGTCCATGTAGGTTAACCTATATAGGACGAACCATTCGAACACTGAACACAAGAATTCAGGAACATATAAGAAACATAAAAAATGGTTTGAAAAACACAGTGTTTCTATACATTTTAAGGAAAAACATAATTGTGACCCCCGTCTTATGGAATTCATTGGAATCCAAAGAGTCTCGATGAATTGGAGGGGAGGTGATTTAATTAGAAATATAGGACAAGCAGAGATGAAATGGATTTTTAATTTGGATACAATGCAACCTCACGGACTGAATGATGACTTTGAAATTTGCCATTTTTTATAATTTCTATTTTTAGCATTAATATATTTATAAAGGAATTTTTTTAAATGTAAATATAAATTTTATATATATATATATTTTTTATATTTTTATATATATATTTTCTTATTTTCATATATATAAAGTCATCCTTCTAAGTCTCATATATTCCACCCTTCCATTCACTTTTCTATTCACTATAAATCTGAATACTGTATATATATATATATAGGATGTTATTATATATTTTTTTACATCTCTCAATGATGGACAGTATACAAATCATTCTCTATTTTTTCTATTGTATGCCCTTTGGAGCATTTATAACATTCAGGAACATCTTCTGATATTGGACTTTTATTGGATCGATTATGGACATTTATTTCCACTATGTTGCCCTCAACCCAAATGGCGGACGAGATTGAAAGCCTACACCTGCATCACGAGTGGAAATGGGAGGGGACATTCCGAATATTCAAATTGGGCCCTTTGTGAAGGCGTCATCAGTGTGGGACGGATTACCGGGAGAATTTTACTTACGCGAATGGCGTCACGCGCACGAGCCGTCGTGCGTGATGACGTCACGATGGCGGAAAAGATTACTGACAGCTGTACCCTCACACTCCCACTAATATGAGCTCTGTGATTGGACGTATCACGGATGCCATCCTCCAATGAGCTACCATTGTGGGATATTTAAAGTATGTAATTGCAGCATGTATTTACCAATTGATAAAGCCGAACTATACAGGCGAAACGCGTCTTGGACCAAGCACTATCACTTGAGTATATTGATTTTATTGTTTTAAACTATATTTACAATAAATGTTACATTTTTTATTCAAGTTGATTAAGTGATATATTCATGCTGCTACAAAGAAGGGTAGTGTCACCCTATATTTGACACTATATCTGCATACTTGGAGCCTAGTATCTGGCTCCTAACAAGGTGAGAAGCCAATTGTTGTTTACATTTGATTATCCACTATATCAAGGATTTCTACACCAGGGTTAGCTTTGCTTCCCTGTTTTTTCTGCTTTTGTCTCCATTTTGAGGTTTCCTATCTAACAACGATATACAAGGACTCCTTCACCATCTATATCTCCTGAGAATCACAGGAGTGAGTGTTTATTCTAATGTTATAGCGCTCCACATCTTGCACTATTTGGCATTTATTTGCACAATAGCGTTTTTTGTACACATCTGATTGTTAATAGGTTTGAGAGTGCCTATCTTTGGTGTGTGAGCTGCTACCACTTTACTGTGTATTGTATTATAATTTATTTTTTAAGCGCCTTTTATCACAGAAATATTCTTTTATAATTACCAGTTAGGTTGTAGATTTTCGCTCAGATGTGTAGATATGTCCCAGGAATTTCAAATGCAAGTATGATGTATAGAGAATTGTATGGAAATAGATAAAAGTTCTCAGTTCTGGAGTTGTGTTAACTGAAAAAGGTAATAGTAAGAATTAGGTGTCTCCATATGAGAGTTGAGAGTTTCTTGAGTACAGTCCAAGTCAGAATATGTTTCAAAGATAGTTTGAATGTTTCAAAGAGTGCATGAATGTCCCAAAGAGCTGAATCTCCCTCTCTTCCCTTTGTCCTTACTTTTTAAAGGGAAGAACTTTCTGCACATCACTAATTGATAGGACCAATAGGGGACTGTAGGTGTGTCTTCCCTACAGACTATCCTCTAGTTTTTGGTCAGTAGGTGTTGCAATTACATCACAGAAAATTTCTGTCAGGGGGTCCATTTGCCTTTTTGCATAATGGGTTAACTGAAATTGGTGATGCATTTTACGTAATTTTTAGTTATATTTATGGATAGCCATCCATCAAAGATATGTCGTAATTTTTAGAATTGACACCTCCGAACCTTTTCTTACAATGGAACTTTGTAAGATTCCATTAGTTTTTTCTTTAGAAAGTAAAATTAATTACTCAGTGTTATCTGTCATTGGTCTCTGGTTTTCTTGTGTGAAACTGTGTTTAAGATTATTTATACTCCACTAACATTAGTAAATAATATGATATTTTTTTCATTGATATTTATCCATGAACAGTCTACATTATTAACATTAAACTAATTATGTATGATTAATATAATAATAGTAAATTATAAGTGGATAGTGTGTATATGTATATATAATTATGTATACATTTGCCTCTGGGTTAGTATTCCATCTCCCTTTTGCTGTTAGACATCATGCCTTATCTCAGGTTTTATCTCTAAAAAAATCTGGCAGATCTCAAATCTTCGAAGAAGACATCTGAAGCTTATACTTCCCTGCTATCTTCTGGGAATTTTAATGTGCTTCTAACCAGAGATATTCATTGTCCACTTTCCTGGAATCCCGAGATTTCCAGTATTCGCAGTACTTCTCATCTTCTGAATATGGATCATTTAGCTCCAGGCTGGATTTCGAAGAGACAGAAGCTTCTTAATACATTTTGGTTGCCCCTTTAGATGCTGACTGAAACCCCTCAGATATGGCATCTGAAATCCATTTATTTAAGTCTGTTTGGGGTGAGCTTCTTTTCATTTGCCTCTCCGCTACTTCTTCCATACATTGGAAGCACAGGTTCTTCCCCTCTGGGGCTTTTGAACCGCAGCCCATGCAGCGATCAGTTTTCTGTGTCCTCTTCCTTGGAGATGAATCCTAACAGGTTCTAGGGTTGAAAAACAAGGCAATATGTTAATACATTCAGGCCATCAA